AGTGAGAAAGTTAAAACATTGTGGGCAGCAAAAAAGGCCAGAAATTGAGTAGAGAAGTGTGTAAACAGGGAGCCGATGTTACCACGGCAGAGTTAGGTTCACCATATGCTCCAGCTGTTTACATGGGTCAGGTTTTAACCACCGTATCTAAGCTGCTTCCAGGTAGCGTTAGGTACGGGTTGTTCGTGCCCAAACAAGTACTCGAAAAGAAGTTTTGAGATCCACAGAACGGCCCGTGTCTAGCAGATGTTCAGTAATCGATGAACGGGTGCTTCTGTTTTCTCGTTTCAGTAATCAGCTAGGTAAATGCTCCTTAGCTCCGGCGGCCAATTGCCATCTTTAAATATTAATTGAGTACTACCAGTGTGAGGACAAGGATGTGGTCAACTCAAAGAACGCAACAAGGTAACGTCTTTGATCACGGCCTATAGAAGATTCACCAGGAACGCTTGCGCGGATGCGTACACATACATTACCACGCCTTGATGATCATGTAAATGTAGGCCATTTTGCAGAAGTGCCCACGACCCTGCAGGGGGGAAGCTGTCCGTACGCCTCATCCTCGCAGCTGGTCAGATAAACCCGGCTTTATTGCGCGACCGAAGAAGTGGAGTGATAACCTCGTTACCGTGGGTAAATCTCTGTTTTCTGGCTAGGAAAGTGACCAATCCTTCGGTTGTTACACGTTCCGCGTGAGAAAGCACTTCCTTTGCAGTTCCGCCGGTTGCACAAGCATGAACAAACTGTAACTACGTTTGTAGTTAGTCTGCTTGCAGATACCCCTCTAAGTAGAGCTATTTTTCCGAATGTCTGCAAATATCCCCATGTTTAATTTGAAAACTGACTCCCGTTGAAGGCCATATCCATGTGCATTTACTCTTTTACTTGCTCCTGTGGAGCAAGATATATCGGCCGAACGAGGCGCCTGGAAAAGACAGTAATTCACCTGTCTGGGCAAGTAAAGACGAAACTAGATCGATCTCGTGTTCCATTCTCGCACAACTTATCGATACTAATGAAGCCTTTCAGCTCGTCTAACGGATACCGGCCAACTTTTTCAAAGGCCTACACCAATGGGTGCTTGCAACAGCCAAAACAGTGGCTATACGGCTAGCGAATCTAGAAGACGCTGATACAGGCATTTTCACTGCCGTGGCCGATCCGGACGCCAGGTGGCGATCGAAAATCGCCCTTACCCCCTAGTGACAGTCTTTCGCTCCGTGCAAATGGTAGTGACTATCACTCCATTTACCTGACCCCTGCTCACAACCTAACCCAATTTCCTCCCCTTCCTCGAACACAAAGACCTCTACACGCCGATCTCGCCATGCGGGTTGCGTGAAAGCGATGAGTTGTAATTAAATTTCACTTATTAACCCTGTCCAACTGTAAAATTTTCATTATCCCTGCAAAGGTACTGGCCTGATGAAGAGTTGCTGAAAACAAATGTTTGCCAAATTGACTTTTCATATTTTATGAATATTACGTGGTTTTTCCATAGTAGCTGATGGACTTCGGCTCAACCATTTACATGAAATTTCGCGCGCTTTTTGTTGACAAAAATTGTATCATTTAAATAAAAATTTCCATTTTTTCTACTCTTATAAACTTTATTTTTTATTTATATTTTTCCTTTTTTTGCCCAGAAGGATGGTGTTTTTGCTTGCTGATCTGGGACCCAAATTAGGATTCTACCGGTTCTTCTTATTAATAAGTAACTGTTTTTTTACCTTTTACAGGTATATGCCGTGGATCGTGGTATTCCCCGTCAGACCTCTTACTGTCGCGTTGAAATTGCTGTCACGGATGTTAACGACAACGCGCCCAAATTTGTCTATCCAACGCAGAACAACCATACCATTCACTTCTCCTCCTGGAATTCCCCGGTGAGTTTTCAGTTCCACCCAAAAGAGAAATTCGTGCTGTTTGTCGTAAAATGGGACGGAAGTTGACGATGTGGTAATTTGGGGGGAATTTGATTGAGCCGGACACAGCAGGAAATGAGAAGAATGAGTGCAGGTCCGCTGCATCTAACCTCCCCTCCTATCAGATCTGCTGTAACTGTGCTTGCGGTGAATGACCCTCCACAGTGCTTTGGCGTGCTTCTAATATTTAAAAAAAAACAGATTTACGCTGCTTCCTGTCTAACATGCGATATGCAATGTGGATTTTCGCACGCGTTCCAGTCAGTGACTTTCTCTACCATCTTGACCAAGTAATTGCATTTGAAAACTCCTACTGTTTTCTTAAATGGCACTCATCTCCCTCCTACAAGCACGCAGATAGCACGTACAATGCTAACCAGTCGTTTGCTTTGCCCAGGCGTTCATGACGACGGTCGGCAAGGAAGTTTAGATGTCCAGTTGACCGATGTTCTTCCGTAAATGACCCGAAATATGCAAGATTTCAGGGAGATGATGAAGATTTTTATCATGTATTTATCTGGTGAACCATTTTCGACCCGGCAGTATCCGGATTTATATTTTGATATGCCACACTTTCAGAGTAAATATATAATCCCTTTAAGTCACTTTATTAAGGGAAGAAGACTTTCGCCCTTGAGCTCCCTACTAATATTCAAAAATCGCAAAAGAGTTCAACTTTAACAATAGTACATAAGAAAAATGTAGAGTTAACATCAGCGATATCTGTTAGCCAGTCACAAACTGCCGCTACTGACACAATGTTCACTATATGTAACGCAGATTCTCACCAAATGAGAATCCAGTTTGCGTTTAAATGTCGCAACAGTATCTAAAAGGACCACCTCGTCAAAGAGTTCGGTCCAAAGTCCAATGACTCTGCGAAAAGACGTTCCGTCGAGTGGCCATATGGGCCGGCTTCCTCCGCAGTTTAAAGGGATGACCCCGCAGATGGTCGGTCCGAGCCTATTCGAAGAATGTATCAAATTCTAGAGCACACTCACGGCCTCTGAAAATTCGGTTGGTTCGAATGAGGTCACCGCGTAATTGCCTGTAGTTGAGGGGAAATAAATCAAGTTCAGCCAATCTGTCTGCATAAGACAGATGACCAAGATTCTTGACCATCTTAGTTGCCCTCGCCTGCACTCGTTCGCGGTGCAGGTAATCCTTCTTAAACCACGGACGCCAGGCCCGGACGGCATACTCCAAGTGGGACCGAACAAACGGTTCTTACGCTTTTCTGAAGAGTTCCTTTTCGAGATGCACGAATCCCCGTCTAATCGCAAACAGTACCTGCGTCGGGCGTTTAGCCATCTTTGAACATTGTGAAAATGGTTCAAGTGAGGAGTTTATTAGAAAATCGAGGTCTTTCTGTTCGTCAACATTTGAAAGGGGGTGTCCATCGAGGAGGTATCTCTGTACGCGTAGTTTTGCTTTTTTTGAAGTGGCACTTTTCCCTGATAAAGACAGAAAACCAAAAGTGTGGTAGATGATTAGCTGAGTGCATGGGATAATATCTTTAAAGGTGATAACTTCTGAAAACATGACTTCAACATCCTGATTTCCAGCACTAAAAGGACTAAGCACCCTGAATAGGAAGGTCAGTTATATTCTTTACGATAGGCGTAAGTGAAAAGTAGTCAGCCTCCTGTCCGTTTGCGGAGGAAATGAAACCCAATAACTTTCTAACTAACTTCTCTGTGTGTTCTATGTCCAAAACAGAAAATCCTTTGGTTTTCGGATTCTTTTGTGTGAAAGCATGCAAGCTCGAATGTTTAGGAATTAACGGCTGGGCTTGCTCAAATAAGAGGTCAATTTCCAGTATTATAGCAGATAGCCAACAGGCCAGCTATTATGAACCAACCATACTCCACAGTATGCGAGCTTTCTTTGTTTCGTCTGTGCACCTATTTAGATATAAGTGCTGGCTTTCCTCATTATCATCCTCAGCTTAATCGCCATCAGACGCAGCAACAACACTTTTATTGTCACGACGGACTTCGCCTTGCTGATAGAAGTGAATATGTGAGTTCCAGGAAGCAGTTCAGAAGTAGAAGATGCGATTGCTGGAACCAGAATTTTATTTCCCTAACCCACTGCCATGGCAGCCAATGGCTAGAGTTGTTTAACGAATCTGGTCTAGTTGTGGACATGGCAACTGCGTCGGAGAAACCAGAAGATTACTCCGGACGCCAATAGCCGAGCACGCAACGGTGGTGAGAAAGAAGGACGATAACTCCCAGGTTGCAGCTCACTCGACGGGATCTGGCCATATTTTCAAGTTTATCGCGGCCAGACTCCTCGCAGGTGACAACTGTGTGATCCGCGAGCTGCTTGAGTCATGGTTCTCAAGTCCCAAATCAATCAAAAAGCGCAACGATTTGGCGTTCCCATACTGCGTACTGAGACATTGTCTGAGCAAGAGAATCAGTCACATGGGAAGGGCCGCGCCCAGCAACAACTCTGACGACAGCGAGCTTAATGGTCGCTCAACTATCAAGCCCGTATCCGACACGGACAACAAAATCGTGGTAATTAATGGCTCTAAAGCGAAGTGTCAAGCCATCATCGCACTAACTAAGACCCCAAGCTGTAGCTACGCATGCGGGTGGCCGCTACAAACTATAAATTCCGCGCAATCTATGCATGTATCATCCCTATCTGTGCATGTCTCACAGCATCCTATGGTTAACTATGATTAAGGATTCTTGATAGAATCCGAAACGTCAGGAAAATAAAATTTTTGTTCCAGTGATCGCATCTTCT